GGGCGAGCCGCCGGCGAGGAGGACGAGGCGGAGGGGCAGGTGAACAGCGGCGATGCCAGATACGAAGCCGAGGAGTTTTCCGGCGTCGGAGGCAAAGGCGAGGTAGTTCAACTTGATCTGAGAGATGGAGAGTGACTGCTTTAGCTGCGAGGAATACGCCGGAAAACTCAGGTTCGTGCCATTGATGGACTGGAGCCAGAGGACGGCAACGAGGCCGAGCCACCGAGGAACGGCCGGTGACATGTAGGAAAGTCGCCGGAGAAGTTGAGGATCTCAACGGTATATTAGCTTATTATGGGAGTTTGGTTATTTTTATTGGTTATGATTATGAATATACGTGGGACGGTTCGTTTAAGCAAAAACGATACACATGGATTTTATGGAATAAGATCATTCCTTGTGAATTTTAGGGTTTCGGGTTTGTAAATATTTATATAAGTAAATGGTTGGGAGCAATGATGTTGTGGTTATGAGAGTGAAGATGTGGTTGGTTTATTAATCACGTAAATATATGAAGAGAGAGTTCTCTTAGTTTTAATTGTGATGTGAGCTTTTAAATTCATAGCAAAATCAAGCCATACCATCCATGTGTATAATGTGGCATTGGTGTACGTTCGTGTATGTGTATATGGGTATATTAACGGAGGGATTAGTAATAATAAACTAGGTGGTACAATTATTCATAATATTATAACATTATTATGGCGTATAACAATCATAATTAAATCGTGGAACATCATAAAATTTTCCCGATAACGCTAATCAATGCCCATGTTTATCGGGAAACGCACAGAGCATGGCAAAGGTTTAGGATCGTCAATTCTGACAACCTTTGTATTATCGCCTTCTCCAATGATTTTCGACGTACGAATTAAATTAAAATTTTAAATGTAGGCGCAGAAAATATTATGAAGCCACGACAGGGTGTCTCCGTTTGTAAGAAATGCGTTTTGAGCTGTTTTTTTCCTTCTAAATAACTTAATTGGTTTTAGTTGTATTCCATATATAGAACATTTGTTTCTATCATAATTCAATTAAAAAAATAAATATTTTACATAAACTTTTAAAATTTGATAAAAATATTGTCAATTTTATCTTCGAAAATTTGTCTGTCTCTCCAATAATTTTTTTTTTGGTTAAAACCCACCGACGATAAATCTTGATTTTTGAAAAAAGTGTTGATATTTTCCGGCGATTTTAAGTTAATTATCGGTCATATCACACATTATTTCAATTTGCGTATGAAACAAGGTTACCCATGGTGAATGAACGAAGCCGTCATTATAGCAAATTAATTTGTGGGGTTTTTTTATTTTATTTTGTGAGTTTATTTTTTTTATGTTGGTTTTTTTAACATATTTTTTGGTAGATATCACTATGTAATAACTATGTTGAAAAAAAAAGAATAAGACAAAATAAAAAAAAAATAAATAAGTGGACCCAACCAATTAGGCCCAATTAGTGACGGCCCATAAGATGCATTATCAGTCCATGACCACCAACCCATAATGTTTGGGATACGACGTCGTTTCTCTTATCCCACTTTTTTTTTGGTTTCTTTCTCCGATTCTGATCGGCGGTGTTGTGAATTGATCCGACGCCGGCTCCGGTGGAGGCTCCATATATCCTCGACGGTGGCCGGACACCGGAACTCGCTTCTCGACCAAGTCAAGCAAATTCTGTGTTCTGGGCTTCATGGGCTTATTAGAGGCCCAAACGTTAAACCGAAATCATTTTTTCATGACTTAATTTTCTTTTATTTTTTGGGTTAAATTATGTAACCAATCCATCGAAATATTATATTTTATTTACTCAATTCGTTCAATCCATTAGATTGATTAAACGCGACAACGAAATGTAATTGTCCGAACTCCAAAATCAACTTTTCATTCGATTTCGTCTTCCAGATCCTCGGAACGATCAATGAATCGTCATCCGAATGATGGAAATCGATTTCACGAGGGATAATGTAAACAGATTTGGAAATATTTCTCCATTGTTGCTAAGATTAGTTTTGATTATTTAAATTAATTTAGATACAAATTTTCTACCAATGGACCTACCTTACCAATACATGGACAAAGACAAAAGCTATCGTAACTTTAGAGGGGAGAGAGAGAGATAGAGATGGGAGATTGGGGCAGAGAGTGGGGGAATCCATGTGAAGACACCTGAATATTATTACGTGGCACGCCAGCTTCCATTTTCTTTTTTTATTTTTTAATTCAAATATATTTATTTTCTTTAACTCGGAGATGTCGCAATCTCCTCACCTTTTAGTTCCATCAAGAAAATCCTGTTTTTTCTTTTCATTTTTTCCCATGTTATTCAATCAATGAATGGATCATATATGAAATGTATCAACATCATCACTAGGATAGATATTTGATAATTTGAATGGACCAACACTCTTACCATATAATATACATACAAGGAATATGACATGCATAAGCTTCTTTTTATGTACATGTCTATTTAAAGATGAGTCATACCATGAAAACTTTCCTCTGTATTTAAGCAGTAGTCTATGGAGTCTAAGCGAGGTTTCTTCTATTCCCTCGTCCTTCACACACACACACACACACATATATATATATAACGGTTCATATATATTTCTTTTGTTAAAAGATCATATCAACCAAAACTATATATATATATATATGTCATATATGTATATAATCAGCAAGAAATCTATTATTCCTCTAAATAATTTCGGAAATATTTTCCAGGATTAAGATTTCCGGAAAAACAAAAGATAACTTTTTTTGTGTAAAAATATATCTACTAACCGCAGGAGGAGATATTTTTAATTTCCTTCATACATAATCATTGAGCCTTTTTTGTCCATATATATATATATAATTTAATTGTATAAATCTCGAAACATGTTGTTTTTTTATATAGTTGAAAGGCTTTATCATTGGTCCACCTACATGTGACAACATGTATGATGAGTCTGACTCTCATTAAACTCTGCCGTCTTGAGTTCGCATTATCATTGTTGTTGTTATGTGAGAAATTCCAATAATTATTATTTTTATAATAGCTACCCAACTTATATAATTAAGCCTAATTATTTCGAGATTTCAAATACATAATATTTCAGTTAATCACACGCATCATCATCTAATCATGGCATCCACATCATGAAGGAAGTATATCATTCATAATTTATTCTAATGCATTTTTCTTTAGTTGTCACTTGTGAAATCATAAATATCCTAGAATAAAAGATTATTAATATACTATTATATATTTTGAATAGTTAGCCTGTCATGTATTCAAACAAGTTGTACAAATTCTATAATTTATTATTAAAATAATGTCTAGATAAATATATACATACACATAATACATAACACGTCCGATTTTATCGATTAAAGATATGGATCTAATCAATATTATATTCATACTCCCTCCGATTTTTAATGATTGACGTTTTAATTTTTTTCCTAATTTTTTAAGAAATATAAAAAAAGTTATATATACTTTTATTAAAAACATAATGAATATTCATTAAGTTTGGATGATAAAAACTAAATTCTCATTAATAATTTTTTGGAATTGGAGATTTAAGAGTAAAATTATAAATTATTTTTAAAAATATTGTCTATAAAGTCAACTATAAATTTAGGATTTTGCCTTCATTACCATAGATTCAAGTTACAACAGTAATTTAACACAAATCTTAACCATAATACACAGTTTTTTTTTTGAAAAAAAAATGAAAAAGAAGAAAATATATCCGGAGATGTTAAATAAAAATTCGGCTTCCGGACAAAAAAAGATAAGAAAAAAAATATAATCTAATCCTCGGTGATGCTCTGCAGGTGAGGTCGCCACGAAGACACTGACGCCGAACGACTGTGTCTCCGACGGTGGCGGTTTCCGGTGACGGAAGATGACTCTACCGACGACAGCATCGCATCTTCTACGTATTTCTTACGCAACATCAAACTGTGATCATCGTCATTACTACTGATCTTTCTCACGTCGCCGTCACCGGAAAATGTATTTTTCTGACGCCGGCGGAGGTCATTCTTCTTCTTTTTCTTCTTATCCGGGAAGGAAGAATCCGGGATCAAGAAGTAGATGCTTCCACGCTTGAGCTCAGATTCCGGCGACAAGATCAAGATCTTTCGGACAACGCCCTGAGAACAGGGTTTGCTCAGGATGTGGTTAGGGTTTGCCTGCAAGATCTCTCCGGCAGTCACCGGACGAGTGATCTCTTCGACGTAGCCGTTGAGATGTACGATTCTGATCAAATCTAGGGCTCCACATGGAAGAACACACGCCAAACAACACCTTAAGCTGTTTCCCATGTTTCTTGGATCAGAACTACAGATCTATTTCTCTCTCTGTTTTTTTTGGGGAGAATTCTGAGAGTTTTTTTTTTTGGATTCTGTGTTGTTTTTCCGATGAAGAGCGAGTTGTGGAAGACGGTATTATATAGGAGCGACACTCGCACGTGCAAACAAAACAAAGCTGGCTTGGCCATTTGCGTCGCCTGTCGTGAAATTACTAAAGCACCCTTGGCGCTCCTAATTAAATACAAACTAGATTTCCGCTTTCAAATTAAGACATCCATATATATATATATATATATATATATATATATATATTAAAATTAAGAGCAAACCCAATGTTTCGATATTTTAGCGGATACCAACATCAGATTTAATGTTTATTTCGAATCATTTAATATTTATTTGGATTTTTTTACTAATCCCGATTCAATGGTCTCGTATTTCTATGCTCTAACCAAGGTTAACTGACCAATCCTAAAAAGACGAACGATTAATCAAAATTCCGAAAATAAATAGTGTCAAAATATTAAGTTTTACAGATTTTCAATATTATAATCCCAAATCTCGAAACTAGAAGCGTCGTTGGATTCGATATCTATGTTGGAAGTAACAATACATTTGTTTAAGGGTTTTTTTTTCTTACTGATTATGTAAGTAACTGAAGTTTCTTCTCGTAATTAGCGCACCATCTCTATTTCATTTTGGATAAATAATGCGAAATAATATTGAAAATCTCGATGCGATAGTGAAATAAACGGGGGAAAAATTGTAGTAATCCCCATACAAATTGCCTAGCAAAATTACACAATCGATTAATTTTATATGATTATATCGCTTGTCATGAAATTACTAAATCGCCCTTGATCGTTATATCAGTTGAATTGGAATGCGAAAGGCCGTAGGTAGCCGTAACGCGGTCTCTTCCCGATATGCCCCTGCGATGGTTGGACTACATAGGCGTATTTTGGTCAATCATATAAACGTAAGAGGGATTAAGGCTGATTAAGATTAATGAGTATATAAAATTTAAACATAATTAAAAATATAAAAAAAAGTTATAAGCTTTGATTCCTTTATAAACAGTATTTATTCATTAAATGATTTCATTCATTATTGCAGCAGAGTAATTAATTATTTTTTGTTGTCAAAGTTGGCCCCGAGATTTTCTATTAATGGCCATTATTACACTCTATAACCGTGTGTACTTTATATGTACTTAAGCTATAACTTCGGCAAATTGCCCAGCGTAAGTACGATTTTAGACCCGTTAATCTCGGTTTTAACAAGCAAAACTGAGTCTTAAATCATCCGTACGGACATACATACGTATATAAAATGTCTGATCATATAATTTAATATCCAAAAAAATGCGGAAAAGGCTAATTAAAAAGAGCAATACTAGAAATTTATACGTGACTTCGTACGTTATAAGGGGACATGGACTATATAAAGAAATATAAAAGAATGTAACACAAATAAGAACGAGAGATGATGCGTAGAAAAATTAAATTAATATCATAATCGAGTTTATATATCTATATCTAATCAAGGAGTCATGTACCAAACGTACGAATGCAATGCGGATGATTCATGCACGACTGTTTTGGGAAAATATAACATTAAAACATTATAGTTAAATGTGAGGACTAGTTTCAGTATCCGTTCGATGTTTAATAAAATTGTCGATTTGGGCATTAAATGGTGCTTAAGTTGGGTATAACCAATGATTAATGATCCACTTAAATAATCTTTAAATTATACTAATTAATAAACGGAATCTAAGTCTGTGGTACGGAAGAGGAAGCTTCGTAGAAGCGAGGCTGGTTTCGGGCACCGACTACGAGCGGCGCTGAAATTAATTATAATAATGCCAATGTTAATAACAAACAAAATTACATAATTTTATTACACCTAAAGAATTAAAGAACGCGTTTTTTGAGTTCGTTCAAATTGTGTAAATCATATAATTTTGGTTTAAAACTCATTCGCCTTAGGATACAAACAAAATTACATAAAAACCAATAATTACACGTATGGTTCTCACATTTCCATGAATGATTGGGCATTTTCGTTCGCGTTATCATCGTTATAATTGTTAATTAATTGTGTAATTAGTGACACCAAAGTACCATCCTGAGAAAGAGTATTTTAAAGTTGATGGGGCAACTACCTTGGTACTTGTTGGTCAAATCCTAACAAGAACACATATGATTTTATTGAGTTGCTTATCTCTAGGAGCGGCTGTATCTTATATTATTTTATGGCCATTGTTATATCAAATAAGTCCATCACCTTATGGCAATTTAAATAAAATATAAACTATATATAGTACAGTATCGGGTCAAAGAGTTCAATGAATCAATGTCACGTTATATAATCTTTTATATCACATTTTTTGGGTCTTTTATATCATACTTAATTTATATCTATATAAATCTGTTGATTTGGACCTACACGCGAGAAAAAACACATACTTCAATGAACATACTCATTCATAATTAATTTTTTTTTGTAAAAATGATTATCCTGCTTCTCTTAACAAATCCATTCAAATAAGACGAATATACTAATAAATATAAACACATTTTATTTAAATCCGAATAAACCAAATTTAACAGTTGGATAAATTTCGGTAGCAAACGACGGGGATATGGAACATATATCCTATGATTGAATTGAATCGATGAGTTTATATTTAAACGTATATAAAAATCAACGTGAAACTTTCATATATTATCCACCATGCATGTACCTTATGCAGTAATTCCTTCATTTTCAAACATACTTAAATAAATAATTGTTGGGGGAAGATCGATCATGATTGCCTTTAATTAACACCGAAAAGATCACGTACGATTCCGAATCGAGGAAGATTGATTTAGTTTTAATTTAATTATTTCCATATAACCACAGAGAAACCGTATATTATAAGAGTACGCGGGCTCGATTAAATTGGTACGTGGGGGAAGAACTTGATCGAATAACGACAAAGGAATTGACATGGTATATGATTTTTAGCTAAGATATTGCAGATATATATCCACCACACGTTTGGTTGGTTCTCGTGTGCAAAATCTTTTTTGGGACAGTGAATGATTTATGTCATATAATTGATAATATCGGTGCACGTAATTCAACCTAAACCCGGTTTCCATGAATGGAGACTCAATTTTTTAAGAGTTTTTTTGTGAAGATACCCATGATCTATTAATTAAAACGACCACAGATTTTTTGTTTTAAAAAGTCACATTTTTATACATTTAAATTTAATTTTTTCTAACTTTTTAATTTAATTCAGATTCGATTATGTTTTACAATTTAGTTTCATAAAATGTTATAAAAACAAATATCAAATTAATTCATAACAAATCGGATTCGGTTGGATTTTTAGCGATTTAATTTATTTTTTTTTTGTTTTGTATATCCGTATTTATCATTACAAATATGGTGCAGTTTCTATAGGAAGATATTATTCTTATAATATCATCATTAATATTGTTATGATTTACCCTAGATATTATGCCGAGAATATTCTATTGTATTTTGCTATATATTATGATGTATTCTTCCCATTATCAATAATAGAAAAACATTTCCCTATTATGGTATCAGAGCTTCGGTTTTTGCTCTAATTTTTTTTATTCTTCTCATCAACAATGTCGGTCGAATCCGAAAGCGACGATGAAGATGACAACGATGTACTAAATCCAATAGTATTATCGTCTTGAGTATCGTTTTAAATTTATTTTGCTCTTTTTTTCTTCTATTTTTTTTCCCGACGGCGGTGTTCATCACCGTCAACCCTAGCCGATGTGCTATTTTTTTTTAACGACGATTTTCGTTTATCGACGTCAACCCTAGCCGATGTGCTATTTTTTTAACGACGATTTTTTTCTCTGACGACGTTCGTTTATCGACGTCAACCCTAGCCATTGTAAGCTCTTTAAACATGGCTATTAGCCTCTTTCGATTGGAAAACTCCAATTGTCGATCCACGTATTTGCGTCACTTATTTTTATTTTTTTCTCTTGTCCCGCTGCTAGACTATCACGCATTATGTGTCGCGCTTTTGCGCCCATTTTTTTTTCTCCGGCCTAGCCGCTATACACATCGCAATTTTTTTTGCGCTACCGACCTCATTGTCGCGCAATCCAACTCGCGCATATGCGCCGCACATCCGTGCCACATCAGCTTCTGAGAATACAACTCTCAAGCTCTTCAAACGTTATCAAGCAACACCAACTCAAATCTGGACTACACCACCACATGGAAGATGATTCGTTTAATACGATCACAATTTCAGTTTTTAGTTTTTATGTAACAAGATTGAATTCATCAAGATGAATCATGATTCATCTTGAGGGGGCATATAGGAAGATATTATTCTTATAATATCATCATTAATATTGTTATGATTTACCCTAGATATTATGCCGAGAATATTCTATTGTATTTTGCTATATATTATGATGTATTCTTCCCATTATCAATAATAGAAAAACATTTCCCTATTAGTTTCGAAAGTAATATACGAAAGGCAAGTAGACCAAAGGTGCAACTAATACTTTTTTTTGGGTACAAAATGGTGTAGTTGTTACAAAATATCCCACGGGCTCGAATGATTCGCCGAAGGACTACGTAGCATTTGAGGGAAGCACACGGAAACTTCGTGTTGTTTCTAAAACAGAGATAGAATCCCCAAACAGCAGCCAGTCAAAGGCTTCGCGTTGATAATTACCCGTCACGATACAATTAAATCGAAGAACAAAATTTACTGATTACCAAAAAAGGAAAACAAAAAAACAACGGACGAACAAATGAGCTGTACCTTTCACTCAAGCCACTGAGATATATTTAACACAATTGGCTTTGAAAATCTTTAATTAGAAATCAAGATTTCTTTCTCTTTCTGTTTTCGTTTTCCGACATTTATCCCCTTTTTTTTACTAACAACTTAGAAAAAAAAACGGCCTGTCCCCCCAAAAAAAATATTTGTTCCAAGCTCTTATAAAAGTTCATCACAAAATCAAACACAATTTCACTTAGAACATGGTGAATTCTTCAGAAAGATATCGCTTCGGTTCGGTCAAAATGTCTACCACCATAAACGTTATGGTCGGTCTCTTCCTCGTGACGTGGCTCAGTAGTTCATGCAATGCAGCGAGGACCAACGTGACGTCATCCACGTACCGACCGTTCCCAGCGATTCTGATATTCGGAGACTCAACGGTCGACACGGGAAACAACAACTACTTCTCGGCGGTGTTCAGAGCCAGTCATCTTCCGTACGGAATGGACTCTCCAGGTTACGCAGCGTCCGGAAGATTCTCCAACGGGAAACTCTTTTCCGACATCTTGGCCGAGAGGTTCAACATCAAACGGATGGTTCCTCCGTACTTGAAGCCGTTCCTGACGCCCCAAGAGCTCGTCTCGGGCGTCTGTTTCGCCTCCTCGGGAGCTGGATACGACGAACGGACCTCGCTGATTACTCGGGCGATCCCTGTTTCCAATCAGATTTATATGTTCAAGCGTTATATCGCGAAGGTTAAGGGTATAGTGGGAGAGGCTAAAGCCGCTGAGATTATAAGCAATGCTTTGGTCCTGGTCAGTGCAGGTCCTAATGATTTCATCTTCAACTATTACCAAACCGCTAGGGCGTCTAGGCGGCTCCAGTTTTCTAACATCTCGGGGTACCAGGATCTCATCCTCAACAAGCTTCAGGGCATTGTTCGGGTAATCTCTGGTACAAGAACCGTGTTTATTTGTTTCTTCATGTACACATGTCTTATTGATGATGCTGCTGCTAAGAAATCATATGCAGGAGCTGTACAACCTAGGATGCCGGAAAATAGTGGTCGGAGGGTTACCGGTAATGGGGTGCTTGCCGGTTCAAATGACTATGGAAATCACGAAGCTAACCAACAGAACCTGCGTGGAAGACCAGAACAGAGACTCGGTTTCCTACAATCAGAAACTGCAGAATCTACTGCCTAAGCTCGAAGCCTCGCTCCCGGGAAGCGGGATCTTGTACTCAGATGTCTACAAACCCATGATGGACATGCTCCAGCATCCATCCAAATACGGTACAATAATACGATACAAAATACGATACCTTCTTCCGCAAGTCAGCCGAAATTATCTTGCCCTTGTGGAAATCAAACCCTAATTAAAACTATGAACGGACATTGCAGGGTTCAAGGAGACGAAGAAAGGTTGCTGTGGAACAGGGTTGCTGGAGACGACGTTCCTGTGTAATGTCTTCAGTCGTACTTGTCCGAATCACTCCGAGTACATGTTTTGGGACTCGATTCATCCCACCGAAGCTGTAGCCAACTATTACGGTCAGTTCATAGAGCCTCGGATTCGTCGGAAATTTCTCTCGGCCAAGGGACGCTAACCAACTCAAAGGATTCATTCTTTTATACGATGTTCAAGTCCGGACGATATAGATTCTTGATCTTATCTGCAAGTTGTGCAGACATTTATTCGACAGTTTCTTGATACATCAAGAACATATATATAAATCTGAAAGAAAAATTTATATATATATATATATATATATATATAATAAAACTTAATTCAGATTTTGAATTTGTCTTGATAACAGATGACAGTTGAATACAATAGTTTTTATTCAATTTGAGCTCTCCTTGAACAAGCCCTTAATACGAACCTCCAAGTCTTCGACGCTGTACCCAATGTACGGCTCTCCACGCCTCCTAACCTCCGGCGACTCCTTCAACTTTCCGATGAGTTTTCCGTACGCCGGCAACACGAGTCCGGCGACCGAGCTTCTCAGCTCCTCCTTCAGTTGCTCGTCAGGGACAACCCATTCGGATTGAATCCGACATATCTCCTCGAACCTGGTTTTGAACGCTCTAAGAGTCTCTATCAGCTTCAGGTACTGATTCTCGGCCTCGAGCATTCCCACCACTCGAACCCACGAGCTCCTTCGGTAATTCGAATGCAGTTGCCGCAGCTTTGCGGCATGTTTCACGACCCATTCGTCGCCTAGAACCGACCCGAGATCGCTTCCCGTGACCTTGTCGAGAATGTACTTCACATTGTTCATCATGAACACAAAGCACAACGATGGATCCCTGTAAACCCTAGACTTGGCCTCCAAGTTACTCTCCAGCAGTTCCAAGACCCACCCGACTTGTACGGACAAAGGCCTACTCGTGTTGGGCAAAGATTCCTTGTTTGTCTCCTCCATGACTTGCTCCAGTGTCTGCTTCGAGTTGCAGGCGGCACGAAGGTAGTTCATGACGTACCTTGTGATGGGGTGAATCCCTCCACCTGGATAAGCCGTTTTCGCTGGATCACGTCGGATCAAATTCTCTAGCTCCATGAATATACCTCTTATCGCTTCTCCTAACCGCTTCTGTAACGCAGCCGCCTCATGTTTCATGGGCGAACAGTACTGGTCGGAGAAGAGCGTTTCCATGGCGGGCATTAGGTCATGTACGGCCTCGTAGATGTCCATGACCTTGAACAAACGTTCTGGCGATCTGCTACCGATCGCGACCGCGTCCGCGAAGTTCAGAAGCTGTGTAGTGGCTCCACGGCAAACTTCCATGAACGATAGATCCACGACGGAGGAGGAGATCCCGGAGAAGACGCGGTCGGAGAGGAGACGCTCGCTCGGGAAGAAAACCCGGAAGGAGATTGTCATGGCTTTGGTCCAGCGGTCGATCTCGTCTTCAAGGTCTCGCCATGGCGTCTCTTGAACTTCCTCCATGTTCAGCCCCCGTAACCGCAGCCGCGACAAGCTCTCCTCTAGAAATTCTCTCCGGCGGCCGCTGTACACTCTCGAGCAGATCGCGTTTAGATCTGCGATAACTCTTGACGGTAGTGCCTCGATCACGATTTTGTGATCGGTTACAGGACGTGCCACGATTACCTGTTCGAGATAGCGAAATTAACGGACCAAAAATTTTGAGAATTGCCCAGAATTCGACATATATTTGCAAGTTTACTGGACTCTGATAATGGAGATTAATAATACGTAAACTCTGAAAGAAACTTCGACAAGATTAATCTCTTCAATCTCTCCTAATGAAACCTTTAATTACTTTGCATTAACATCGGACTCTGTCCTATGTTATGCCTCGTACCATTTTGGCAACGCATTCGTATATATATATTAGATTACCTGATCGGTTTGGCTTATCTCCTCGTCTTCCTCGTCACCGGCGAGTTCGTCGTCCGAGTCGAACGACTCGGCGGCGGCTCGGTCCATGACAAAACCGAACTCATCCTGGAGCCTGAACATCGCCTGTTGAATCAGATCATCGGCACGGGAGAGACACACGGCGGCGGACTTATCTCCGGCGAAGGGTCTCCATTCTCCGGCGGACGCGACGAGCTCGTCCACCGCATCGAGGAAGGCATAAGAGTCGGTCGGATCAGACCAGATCGGGTGATCGCTCGCCACGTAGCCTGAGATCAATCTCTCCAAGGAATCGATGGATCGGTCGAGCGTGGGTCGCACGCGCGGCCGGAGCCTGGAGTCATAGCCGGAGAGAATCTGCAGGATTTCGGCGGCGGCGGTGTCGTCCTTGCCCAGGGACTTGGCGATTTCCCGAGCCGCAGCAAATAGATTATCGTCGCTGGCATCTGCCATTGTTGCGATGATTTAGAGTTCGTAAGTTCGATTGGAATGGGGAAACGGAGAGGAAATCACGAAGAATAAGAAAAGAAAAAGTCAACAATATCAAACGCGGGAAGCCAAGTCTGACTTTTGTCGTGTCTGAATTGCCCCTGGTTTTGGAGCGGACATGAAAACTGGGACGAAGTCAGTCAACCACGAGTCGGTCACTACTCGATCGAGCCTCTGTTTCGCCAGTGAAACAAGATCAATGCTCTGTCTTCCCAAAATTTCCTCTTATATCTTTTTCTCTTTTTTACTCCTTTTATTATTCGTAATTAATCAATAATTTTAAAACATTTATTCCAAACACCCATCCCTAATCTCTAAACTAATTTGAACTTTGAACTCTAAACCAATTCTAAATGTTAAAATTATAAATTCTAAATTCTATGGTTTAGAATTTAGATTTTAGGGTTGAGTTCAGGCTTTAGTGTTTATAATTTAGGATTTAAATATTAGGGGTAAAATGGGAAGAATAGTGAAAAAGAGATAAAAAAAAATGTTTTAATAAACAAACTTAAATTAATCATTTGAATAGAGAAAGTGATGCCGTTTCACCCTTTTTCAAATGGGCTTTTTACTCATGTCATATGGGCCCATGAAAATTAAGCCCAAAATGCAAGATGCGCACAAAACTGGGGGTCAAAACAGTAATTCGTGGTTTTAATTTAGTTTTATTTTTTCATCAATGAATTGAAGGGGAAATCCTTTGATCAGGTTATTGTGTAATTTAAAATTTGGTTTCTATATATGACTACGGGGTATTGAGAGCATATTGAATTACAAATACAAAAAAATTATAGAATATGATTTTTATTATTTGTTGTTGTTGTTGAGAAGAAGAGGCAGTCAAGCCAACGTTCAACCGCTGAGCTTTCAAAAGCAATGCTTTCAAATACCATTTTCTTCTTCTGCATGCGCTCTCTGCTTCACCCCTTCACCGTCCCCTTATCGTACGCACTCCTTCGGCGTCCCTTATCCTGCGCACCCCTCCCTCCGCCATGGCCGCCACCGTCTCGTCCTCCATGCTCCTTCCTTCCGTCTCTGTCAACAATCTTAGCTTCTCCAGAAATGCGTCTCGGGGCTTCGCCGTCAAGAACCTCCGCGGATCTAGGGTTTTCATGAGCTTATCCGTAGGATCTCAGACAACCGTCGACGACGCATTGTTCGCCGATTACAAACCCACCTCTGCTTTTCTCTTTCCCGGCCAGGTCCTTTGTTCTCTCTCTTTCTCTCTCTCTATATATATATCCATCTCTCCCTCGCTGTGTCTAGTTTTCGATGGGCGCATTCTGGATAGGTTGGATCGTGCAATGCCTGCTTGTGTGGGTTTTGATATGGATGGTTTGATGAATTCGCCACAACTTGGAGATTTCGAAATGTTGATTTTGATTGTACGATGCTGAATAATGAGTATATATGTATGTATGTGTATATTCCTGAGATCGATCTTGATCATTTTTTTCTCATGTTGCTTTCTGGGTCTCTAGAAGTTTGCCCCTGGATATCCTCATATCCACTGTTGTGATCTGAGAGGATCTGATTTGCTTTACTTAAAAGGGCGCGCAAGCTGTAGGGATGGGCAAAGAAGCACAGAGTGTCTCTTCTGCTGGAGAGTTGTATAAGAAAGCTAATGATATCTTGGGGTATACATCCTCTTGTTATCATCTTCCTCCGTTCAATGTTTCCTTGTATGAATGAAAACATACTGGCTTCTCTCAGGTATGATCTTCTGGATATTTGTCTTAACGGGCCTAAAGACAAGCTCGATTCCACTGTCATCAGCCAGGTGGTTTCTCCCTCCCTCTCTGTCTTTTCCATTTGCATGTAAGAAGAATTCATGAAGTTATAGACTGGTAGGTGATTGAAAGTTAAAGGGTTCAATCTTTTCCCAGCCTGCTATTTATGTTACAAGCTTAGCAGCAGTTGAATTACTCCGAGCTCGTGAGGGTGGCCAACAAATAATTGATTCCATTGATGTAACATGTGGTCTTAGCCTGGGAGAGTATACTGCTCTTGCATTTGCTGGAGCCTTCAGGTTACTCAAAACCTTAAACCCGCCATGAATTTCTTCCAATTTTCCTTGTTGGTCACGACTTAAGAGATCGTTCCTTTTTTCTATTGCTTTAACCTTGAAGCTTCGAGGACGGGCTAAAGCTTGTAAAACTACGAGGAGAAGCCATGCAGGTAAACTCTTCTATGAGTTCCTTTTTGGTAAACTTGAGTTTTAACTGTTGTGGTGACCAGAGTCTTGATGAAAATGCTTGGGCAGGCGGCTGCTGATGCGGCCAAGAGTGCCATGGTCAGTGTCATAGGTCTGGATTCGGAAAAGGTTCAGC